ACAGTTTCAAGCGATCATCATTATTTCTATCTTCCACTCCAAACATGATCTACGAAGGTGTCTTGAAGGGTCACCGCGACTGGGTTACCTCCCTCGCGTGCCCCCAGCAGGCGGACTCCCCTATTAAGGTGGTGTCGGCGTCGCGCGACGGGACCGCCATGTCGTGGGTCGCCAACCCGGACCGCCACAGCATCGAGAGCGACAACGCGATTCCGGACCGCCGTCTGGAGGGCCACACCGGCTTCATCTCGTCCCTGTCCCTGGCGCACACCAGCCAGTTCGCCGTCACCTCCTCCTGGGACCGCTCGCTGCGGCTGTGGAACCTGCGCACCGGGCAGTGCGAGCACAAGTTCCTCAAGCACACCAAGGACGTCCTCGCGGTCGCTTTCTCGCCGGATGACCGCCAGATCGTCTCCGGCGGCCGGGACAACGTCATCCGGGTGTGGAACGTGATGGGGGAGTGCATGCACGAGCTCACGAACGACGGTCACGAGGACTGGGTCAGCAGCCTGTGCTTCATTCCCAACCAGGACGAGCCGGTACTCATCTCCGGCGGGTGGGACCACAAAGTCAAGGTATGGGAACTCACCAAGGGCAAGTGCCGCCGCACGATCGACAAGCACAAGAGCCAAGTCACAGACGTCGCCGTGTCACCGGATGGCTCACTCTGCGCCTCCGGTGACAAGGAGGGGGTCGTGTGCCTGTGGGGACTCGCCAAAGACGAGCACATCGTTAATATTAACCTCGAATCCCCGATCAACCAGATCGCCTTCTCGCCGAGCCGCTTCTGGATGTGTGTGGCAAGCGAGAGGAATGTCCGCGTGTACGATCTGGAGGCGAATAGTATTATCATCGAGCTCACCCCCGAGTCCACCTCGAAGCGCGCCCCGGAATGCATCTCCATCGCCTGGTCCGCGAATGGGAACACGCTGTACACGGGCTACACTGACAATCTCATCCGCGTCTGGTCTGTCAGCGATATTTAAGGAGTAATAAATAAGACAGAAGCGCCACCTCCCTGACCTCGGGGCATGCGATCTCGGTGTGCTGACCTTGGAGGGAGAATGATTTTTCGCTTGTTAACAAGAATTGGTTTACCTTAATTTCATTTCATAATTGATAATAATAAAAAAAGTGAAAATGTATCCTCATTCGATAGCGTAAGTTCCTTTATCCTCTCTAGATGATTATACATCCATTTTGCTAATTCATATACTACTCCTCCTTTCTTCTCCATTACGAAGATTCTACTCTTTCGTGGCGTATTCTGTTGTAGTTCTTTAGTGTTGTATATCTCAATTTTAGCTGTGTAGAGCAATATTTTGGCTTTGCACGCACATTTTTTTAGATCTCATCATATACTCGAGGACATTTATAATATAACAACTATTACTTCGCTTGTTTACGAATAAGATTAAGTAGATATGGCTAATATTTCTACTCCATGTTCGCCCCCTTTCCATGTCATTGCCCTTGATATGGACGGTACGCTACTTAACCCCGATCATGAAATTACGGACTTCACAAAGAAGACGATACAGGATGTAGTGGCAAAGTACCCGACACAAGTGTTTGTTGCATTGGCCTCTGGACGGCATTATGCTGACTTAAAGCCCATCTTAGACAGTTTAGAGCTACCAGAGGAAAGTGGAGCCATCATAGCGTGCAATGGTGCCTGCGCTTACGCTTTCAACACCAACAATGCGTTTAATGAGAAAGACAAAGTAAACGAGGAACAAAAAGTGCACCCAGACAGAAAACTCAAGTGTGATTTGATTCAAATTCGGAATGTGTGTATTCCACCAGAAAGCGTTTGTCAGGTTCTGTCCATGTGGTTGAATTTTGATAATAAAGATATAAACCTTCATATTTATCAGAATGATCATTGGTTATGTGCTATGGAAGAGAAAGAAATTTTGGAGTACTCGAATATCAGTGGGTTTGTATACGAACTATGCAATCTATCGGAGCTGGTCCAAGCTTACAATGAGCACCAAAAGCTGAGTCTGGGAGCATGCGGTGATGATTCAACAAGCGATGGCTACAATAGCACAAGCCCCATTAATCCCCTTGATGGCATACCAAAGATCTTCGTATCAAGCAAAAATCCTGAGCTGTTAGCAGAATTCAGGTCTCGCGTTCAGGCTGCAATTCCTTGTCTCAGTCTCACGTTTTCCAGCAAGTGCTTCCTTGAAATTATGGGGACAGATGTCTCGAAGTTTACCGGATTGCAGTCCCTCATGCCGCATGTACAGGCTTACGCCGCGACGAAAAAGAGTGTGGGGGATTCCAAGGATAATAAAACCGGCAAAACAGAGGGCCAAAGCGAGGCGCCTTGGACGGTAGAATCGGTGTGCCTTGCATTTGGCGACAATGAGAATGATGTATCAATGATAAGGAATGCCGCAAGGGGGTGTCTAATGGGAAACGGCCCAGAGGCTCTAAAGGAGAGCCTGAAAAATGATGTAGTGGTTGTTGGCACTAATTATGAGGATGGCGTGGCCCATGAGCTCAAGAAAATTTTTAATGTTTGAGATGGCAAAATAAATTACTAATTATTACATTTTTATTTATTCCTTTTTCCCACAGATCTTTTCTGAGCAATTTACTTTCTCTCATATACGATCATTCGCCAGGTTGGGCAATGTTTATGTTTTTCCAATTGTAATTCACCATGTAGGGAAAAATGCAGGTTATACACAGGAAATCCATCTCGAGAAAGTATTGTGGATGAGAAGGATTGGCGTTGGATAATGTGATCACATCACTTTTTCATTCTTTCAAGGTTTCTTAATTATTTTTTTCTCAAAAATCCTTAACGAAAATTATACACGGAAAGAAAAGGGAAAAGTTAACTACAGTGAAACCATAAATGTGATAAGCTAAAGACGGAAGTAAAAGTTCACTTTTAGCTTAAATTTAGAATTTTCATTTTCCTTCGTTTTGGTTCGTGCCCTTTTCTTTTTGGGGATTATAATTGATTTACTATAATATATTGAATATGCATATATATATATTATATGTATGCATGTATGTATTGGATAATTTCATAGTGTGACCGTCATCTTGTACTTCTCATACTTCTGAGTCTTTTTGGAGAAAAGCCATCGGCTATCGTTGTGTATCTATATACGATTATATAGATAGGTCCCTAACAACTATTTCAAAGGGCTTATCAAGAAATTAAAAGAAACAGTTAAAATATCAAATTGCAATCGCTGAAAAAAATTCATTAAGCACACATCAAAGAACGACCCATTACCCTTCGCATGTGCTCCAATAACTGCGCTACTGCACCTGTTTCACTCAACCTGAGCGCCAAAGAATGCACGAAATCTCCTGATGACGCAGACCTTTCTACCTGTAGTCATGCAAAGAACTCTTTTGTTCACTACTACACGCATTCCCCCTACGCCTTCATACCCCTAATTCTCTCAGAAAAGGATATTGAACTGTCGACTTTAGGATCCGATTCAATAGGTTTGAAGAAAGACAATTCGAAGCCAAATTGAGATGCTTCAGAGAATGGGCGTCGGAAGAAGGATGCCTCCGTCAGCAACGGCCCCAATCGCAGCGGCCATGTCCCATTCCCCGTGAACAAAAAAAATATGCTGCTATTTCATCGGCAGAAGATACAACCGTGGGTGCTGCCGTCGATTCTACAGCCCGACATCGATTCAAAGCGTTTTGATGCTGCTCTGATCACGCGCGCCGACGCAGCAATCGATCATGCCTCCGATAGGCAACGCTCTTCCGATGCAGAGGATCAATAGGAGGGCTAACCTCCCTATACCGGCATTAGATGTCTTCCCTTCAGAGACAATAGACATGGAAGGGCAGGCGGAGTGTGAGTTTATCTCCCACGCCAGCTTGGGCTCGCTTGACGGTGGGCTCAGCAACACTACGCACGACGTAGGGTGCATTGATTTTACTCTACAAGCGCTTTACACCGCCTTGATTGAGGCGTCGACCCCGGCGGGTGTTCGACCGCTCGCCGAACGACATTGTAGGGAATGGGTAAGGCCTCAGGACCAAACCAAAGTAATCCCTCCCGGTCTCCCCCGTTGGTGGTGAGGGCACCTCACCGTTGAGATCTTCGACAAGGCCATTCTTCAGGAAGGCTGCATGCGTCAGATTCAGGTACTCCATCCCTCCCGCCACGGAGACCCCTTCCGTGGTAAATTTAGCAAGTATACAGAACTTAATCTGTAATACTCTTATTGGCAATCGGCATACCCTCAGCTGCCGTGCGAGCGGATTTGAGATATCTAATACCCGCTAAGAGGTAATACGACGACGGGCTGCGTGAAGGAGAAGGCAATTGGGTAGTTTCTGTGACCTTAACCACGTACACCATTTTATATGAATATTTTTATCAGTACGTTGATTTTTATTTTATGGCACGGTAAAGTTGGTTAATAACACGAATTCATGTGTCTATTATTTGATTTTCACACAGCGCTCAACCATAGGCTATATCTGACCCCATTCCTTTACTCATGTAGTTTCGGCATCAATAAAGCTTACTTGCTTTTTACATACATGATCGATTGTTTTCATTGTTAAACCATTATCGAAACTATTTCAGGTATTTGAAGTTTGATATTTTCAATTCCATGCAAATTTACCGAAATGTTTGAATCAATAAACAAAAGAAAACAGAAAAATACGAAGTTAATGATGGTAAAACCTAATTTTATTTTGCTTTGTCCTTTACTTCGTGTTTACCTCCGCTGGCGAAGGTATTTCCACAGCTTGACCTGAATAGATTTGTCTTTTTGCATCACTCTCTTATCTATTTTCCCTCACATGTGCTCCGTATTTCTAGAATATAAATCTCAGAATTTAGCATGCATAAAATGAAACGATAGAATCTTTACAGGAAAGAGAGAACAGGTATCTTTTATGAGAGGAAAAAACGTTTCATTTGTTTAATTAGCACTAAGACAGTGAATGTGTGGTAAAGCGGGAAAGTAATAGGAGCCTACAAATACGTAGTATTCTCTGTCTTCTTCAATTGCTCTAAAGAATAACTCAGCTTTATTCCCTTCCTATATTGAAACGTGTTTTGAGTATAATCAATATTAACTAAATATCACATTTATAAATATATCATAATTTATTAATAAACAATGGTTTCGTATTTTTTTTAGAGAAAAGTTGCTACATCCTTTTTTTCGTGTGGTGATTTTACAGAAATATCCAAATTCAATTTCTATTGAGCATGAATATTTTTATTTATATACACTGAAGAAATCACTTTTACATTTATAATCATGCTTTTTTGAAGAGCCTATCTTATCATTTTAAAAATATCTAACGTATATTTTTTTAAATACGGATCCAATGAAAAGAGATGAATAAATGAATCGCATCGATGTATTCATAAGAACACGCGTTTTCACCTTTGGCAAACAGTTTTCGCGTGCTTTTCTAATATATATATGTAGTACTGCTGTTGCTAAGGCCTATCTTATTCACATGTTGTCAGCTTAATTGAAGTAGGTTCATAGCTGTTTACAGACAAGGGAGCCTCTTAAAAACGCATAAATATATAATAAAGGGATCTATTTTGTGGGACTTAAATTTCTTTTTTAGGGCCGCCACGTATTGATTCTCCTTTTCTGACAAAAGGTGATTATTTGGGTTTGCTTAAGCTTGACGAGACATCAGCAACCACAGCTCGGGTCTGTAGAGTGAAATCTTCTAGAAGAGGGACGTTAAGGAGCCTATTTTATATTAACGTGTTTCTTCTAAATGTTTTCAAGAAGCACACTGCTTTCTACAATAAAGGATGTGGTGAAGCAAGGTGGATCAACTGCACCGGCGCTTTCGCCGATTGTTACTCGGTCTTTGTATCGAAGCCTATTCCGTGAGGTTTCCAGACTAGACGCCGATCCCTTGGCGAAGATCCTGTTCCCATGCACACCAGATCTGCAGGAGTGGATCGGCCTGTCGCGGATGTTGTACGTCCCAAACAGTAAATCATATGTAGAGGCTCTTCGACACGCTTTTCGGGATTTAAGCCGGGCCCCGAACATCAACCTTGCTTTTAGCACCCTAAACCGATTGCGTGTCCACCAAGAGAACGTGAAGAGCAAGCTGCCGCTCATCTTGAAAGACAGAAAATCTGTTCTTGAATCACTTGCAAAGGAAGCCCCTAAACAGAAGAAGTTGTTTAGGGCTGAGCCACTGATAAAAACGGACGAAGTCTGCAGTGCAGCGTGTTATGTCCCGGCAAAGCCTAACGCTCCAGGACGCGTCGTTTTGCGGGCGCAGCCGGAGATGGAACTCAAAGAGGGCACCGTACTCGTAGCCCACCCGCTGTCCTCCACACACATAGATCGACGCGTATTGATGATCACAGAGCGAACGCCGTTCATGACCAGCGGCGTGGTGCTCGACCTTCAGTACGGCTTTCCACTCTCAAAGGGAAACACGATGTTCCCGGAGGTTTTTTGGGGGCACGACGTATACGACGGGGGATTTCATCAGATTGGCTTCACAATGCCGCCGACTGCGCAGATTGTCCTTTTGCACACCTTAGAGCCTCCCAAGGAACCATCAGAGGACACTGCTTCGTCCAGAGGAAGTTGGCTCTCGTGGCGGCAGTCGTCTGTCCCTGCGGAGAAGCAACTTGCATTGAAGCGGCAGCATGAAGTATTTTGCCGCCCCCTTATCCATGGTAGCGTTCTCGACAACGGTGAGAAGGAACCCACTCTATATATCTCCAAGGCCGAGGCACTGCCCTATCTGGCAGAGATCGCGGCTGGGCAGCCACGCTCGGCCCTGCGAATTTACTGGGGAAATATGCGCTGGCCCACAGGGCAAGTCGAGGCCGAGGTCAGCAATGGACATTGGATACCTGTAAAGGTGTCGCCGTCGTTCTTTCGTTCCTACGAACTTTCGACCAGCACCGCGCCGCCGGAGCGCCTTCCGAGCGGGGAGGAGCTGCGGGAGGCAAGGCGCCTTCGGGAGAAGCGTTACGGTGCTGATATCACTTTTCCACAGGTGTTTCCCGCGGAACAGGTTGTGCGGCAGCGAGAATTTCTGTGGGACGAAATCATGTATGCACTTGGCGAGGAGTATGCGGCGCTAGTCGGCATATTAAACCCATTTGTAATGGGTAGTGCAAGCCGCAGCTTTCCACGCATCGTGTCGTTGCTGCCGACGAGTCCAGCGCGACGACATTCATCCGCGAGTGCTCATGAAACACTGGAGCCCACGTTTGATGATGTTGACGACGACCTTAACGTAAGTCCTTTTGCGCTTCAAGATGGGGATGATTCGAGTTTCCAGACGAAGCCTCATGCAGAGGCTCCTAAAGCCTCATCCAGTGGAAAGAAAAAGACCCAAGATAGTTCTCTCCCTCCGTATGACAAGAAAGACAAGGACAAGGATTGAATTCTTTGCCCCCGTTTTGTCGGTTCTATGTATATATATAGAGAGAGAGAGAGAGTGATATTACTGATGCTGTCTATTTACGTTTATTTATTATCTATAAATGCATTATTTACGCTTTCAAACGTGTCTCGGGAAGTGAGTTTCTAAATTTTTATATTTCGATGCGCTACTTTTTTCTTCTTATTTCAATAGGACTCATCTTGTGATCCATTTTTCTGAATATTCATATTGCTTCTTACCGTCAAGTCGATATGCAACCTAGATTGTCGGTTATAATAGATCACCGTAACTTTTTTCCCCTTTTTTGCATTATTCTTATCATGGAAGTTATTCTAGAAAGGTGCTGACATATGTTGCATGATTCCATGGACCACACCGTTCCTGACAAAGTAACACTGACGTTCAACACCACGCGTTTTGGAGTGAAACTGGCAGATGGTGTCTTTGAGGCTAGTACCACAATTGGCGAAATTCATGCAAGGCTACGAAAAAAATTGCTCAAAGCTCTAACTGACGATGTGGGCCATAATCGCCAGGGGAGCAGCGGCGGCGGAGATTTCTACGCGTCCACCACGATGACCCATTTCTTTATCCGCAATGGCACAGAGGCCTTTATCCCCGCTCCTCATCAGACGCTGGAGGAGCTACTAAAAGTGTGCACTACGTCGAAAGATTTGCGCACTCTAGCGGCAACCATCGACCTTGAAGTGTTCTGTGGATAAATTTGCAATCTCCAACAATATATATACATATATATATCTTGCATATGAGCGTAGAAATTAGTTAGTTAGAAGCCAATGATCTTTTTTTTTTCTACTGATACGATTGATATGTCTTGGTCATAACCTTTTCCTTTTGTTTTCGCTCCTGCTGTAATGTTGTTTTAGCATACAATCATACATTTATTTTGCCAAATGTTTCGTCTGAGTGCGCGTTTAATGAACAACGTCGGCCCTATTGCCGCCAACCTTGTATCTATGCGTCGTGCCCCGTCGTTTCAGCAACCCCCAGCTAAGGATGTAATTGGCAAAAATGTAAAAGATATCCCTGCGAACTGGGTTACGGCGTACGTTACACCAGATGTAATCACAGCAGAGGAAGAGCAAGCTCTCCTGAGGTTTGTGGATCCATGGTTTGCGCGGCTGGAATACAATGATGCACATGCGGATGGGCTCATTCACCATTACATGGAGTTTTATCGTCCCTACGACGACTTGATACGACAGCTGCGTAATGGGTCTGCCATCCCTACGGAGTCGTCCGTGTCTGATGATGCGGGGGCCCATATCGGCGACAGAGATTGCTCTAAAGCTAGTCTGAAACCAGAGGATGCGCAACTTGTTTGTATGGCGCTAGAGCGGGTTCGTGGGCTCGCAGAACACTATCTGCCTCATATTCCGATTGACAATCGAGTTCATTTCCTTCGATTGAAGGGAAGTGGCTTTATCCGTGCGCATGTCGACGAAAGCCGAAATTCAAGTGGGATTGTTGCTGGGTTATGCCTGAATGCTGGGCGCGTCATGACGCTAACACATCCAAAGCACCCAGGCGAAGCTGTCGAGCTGCTACTGGCGCCGCGGTGCCACTACGCCTTGATCGGCCGAGCTCGTTACGATTGGGAGCACAGCGTCGATTGGGTAAAGGATGATGATGAGCACATCCAACGCATCAAGCAGAGTCTGGTGGTTGAGGGAACCCCAATTTATTTTGACGGAAAGGATACCGGTTTGACACGACACGCACGCACAGCTATTATATTTAGAGGCGTTTCGCCCATGCACCTTTTTGCCTCACGCATGCGCATGGCACCGTGTTAAGAGGACTATTGAAAAATCAGATAGGATGAGCCACTGAAGAAAGAAAAAATCAAAAGGAGTGAGAAGATATGTGTCGCTAGCTCAGAACGTCAAATTTATAGCAGCTGCATCGATTTGCTTATTCGTTTATGGTCTGAATTAATGCCTTTCAAACTTTGACGGAGACCCTGCCCCGGTTTAGTACGTTAATGTCCCATCGTGTGTCACTGGGGCCTGCGAGTCACTTATGAATCCTTGACTTTTTGCAGGCCGTCGGGAGATGCGTTTGGAGCGGAACATGCTCGCCTCGCCTCGCCGAGCGCTTTGTACGGTAGAGAGATTTGTGCGGCGCAGAGCGGTGAGCCTAAACGGGGCGTCGGTATCCCACAATCGCCGGACCCGCCCGATAATCACAAAAACCACCATCATCAACAAGTTGGGTAATACCATCGTCATCGGGACGGCAAGTGATGACAGAATAACTTGAATCGCCGGGGCCGGGGTGGTACAGTACTCTACACCTGTCGTTTTGTAGCCTTTCAAGCACACAGAACAATTTGCCCCGTCCCAGTACCCGTGCTTGGGATCCCTATAGCAAGTACAAGGGCCATCTGTCTTGGCTGCCAACTGTGTGTTGCAGCACCCGTGCGAAGTACAATTCACCTCCGGGCTACAGTCAACTGGCGGACTATATGTTCTTGTGTATTTGTTTTTTTCCTTTACGATGCTAAACATACGTCCCTCGCAAGTGTTGCATGTCATGTTGTAGCCATCACCCTTAGTGTTACAGGAGCTTGTGTAACAGAAGCTAGTGTCTACTCCGTTGCATCCAGAAGGGTTCACGCCCGCCATACTGGTACAGTAGTTTCCCTCCGGCATATCTTCAAAGACACCAGACCAATAACAGATCATTTTGTCTGGGCTCCCAGGTGGACTAGGTATATCGGATCCATTAGGTAAACCCTCTTTAACATTAGCTTTCACCGAAACCATTATCGAGGTAAAGTTATTGCATACACACTCAATCTGCTTGCCAATAACCGTATGGTTTCCCAATGTTACATTGCCGTTTTTTTGAAACGTCTTTTTGCACCAGGTCTCGATCGCCTTCTTCTCTGCAATGGGGCAAATCTCATGAAAACCTGTCGCCGACAAGATATGAGACGCACAGATAAGACCCCAAACCGCCGCTATGAGACACAGTAGTTTTGTTTTAACTTTTATCATGCGACGTGTGCAACTATTCGATAAGGATGGAAAAATATTCTACAAATATAAAATTTGGGACAATCGCGGCAAAATTCTCCAAGCTACGATACGAAAGAAAAGAAAATGAAGGGAAATGTGCTGCGAGCATAGTTGGCCTTTAATTTTTCCGATGGAGAGTTCTAGCAGATGAGAAACGTATTAGTACTATTAAGAATAAACAGTTACCCCCACTTGCTCTCCAGAAGCTGAAAAATAAGCTTTCACCCGTCGAGAAGCGATTTTCCCTCTTCGCTTATAGTAGAGAAACAGGCAAGCGGCAGCTTGCAGAATGACGTTTCATTAGTGCGTATTCTCAGATATAAAGTTAGTGTAACGGCATTTGCGTCTTCCTGATAGACGCACTCTAGCCTTCGAAAAACAGAAGCGCACGTGCAGATACCGAAGGATAGGATGGGGTGGGATGAGAGGGGGATCACCGTATTTTTACGAGCAAACATTTCCTTTTTGTTTACTTTGATACTTATTACAGGAAATATTCCGGTGGGGGATGCTTGGCGAGATGGCCCCTAACATCGGCCGGCGCTGCACCAAAGTACACAACATTTCTGTCTGTCTGAGGGTTTGTTCCTATTTCTAAAATTGAGGCGACATTGCCACATCGATAGCAATAGTTCGGTGCAGACCATACAGTGCAGCAACTGCCATCGAACATTGATTTGTAGCCTTCTAAAACGAGTTGATGCGCACGTGCGATGAGACTAAGGCCGTTTCTGCTATTAAACTGTTTGACAACATCGGCACCAAAGATGTAGCCCGCGCCGCGTGGGCTCACGCCCCATGTGTCGATGTCTTCTGGATCTGACCACAGCAAATCGCTCATGGGGCCATCATGAGGTACCTCCTGCTTCCTGTCTAGAACGTACACCTCGTCGATGGTTTGAATAACAGGGCTGAGGCCACCATGAACGCAGAAGATGTCCTGCTCAATTACTGTCCCAAGTGGCATGTAATCAAAGAGCTCTGTGCACAGCCGCCACACGTTTGCGCTGCCATATTTACGGTAGCACTCGTCGTAGAAGCCGTAGACTTGTGTGATCTGCCGAGACTCATGGTTACCCCGCAGGAGGGTAATACGGTCAGGGTATCGAGCTTTCAACAACAATAACAGCAGCAACGTTTCTACGCTGTGGTAACCACGATCCACATAGTCACCCATGAACACATAACTTGTTTCAGGAACGCGACCGCCCTTCCCGAAGAGCTCTAAAAGATCAAAAAATTGACCATGGATGTCTCCGCAAAGAGTTACAGGGGCATAGATGGTCTCGACATTGCCCTCCTCCAGCATGAGGTCCTTGCAGCGCTCACAAAGCTGGGCGACTTCCTCCTCTGTTATGAGTTTCCCATCATACAGAATTTCTAACTGCCGGTTCAAATCTGACATGATTCGACGTAGACAACTGCGATGACGGAGAATTACCGGGTACGAATCCGAAGATGCTTTTTTATTATGTACACGTTAGTGCGTCTACCTCACCGTTTTGTGATCAAAAGCGTTGTCTCCTTTTAATGCAAACTGTTTTTTTTTTTTACTATTTTAAAAGAAAGTGCTGCCACCGCTTGACTGTTCGTTCACGAATTTGTTTTAGTTTCTCATGGTAAAAAGAAGGGTAACAAAGTGAGGATTAGAATCAAGCAAATTGATGCGAATATCTATACACTCATTTGTTTCGATTTGCTTGTAACCAGTAGATCGCATTGACAGCACCCAAGAGGGAGATTCTCATGTCTATTGATCGCTTTTATTGTTTCCTAGTGTCTATTGCTATGTGTGGAGGCAAAAAAAATACTCATAAGGTTGCAGGTGAAGTAGGTGCATAGCGATAGATTTGATGATCAAAGATGCAAATTTGTAAGGCTGAAGTAGCTGTACGACATGTCAGATTTTCTCAATCATCTGTTATTCGTGCGTGGATGTGGCAAACACGCTAGAAGGGGGACCCCAACTCATACTTCCGTGATCACGCCGAATTCTTCGGGATGAACATGATAGACGAACTGTTCACGCAATGCCGCTCATTTGGCGGGGGGTTCTTGAACCCCTCGCCGCGAAAAACATGACCTAGGTGGCCATTGCAGGCATTACATAGAATCTCCGTCCGCATTCCATCCGCGTCAGGCTCCTCACGGACTGCTTTGGGCAAGCAGTCCCAAAAACCGGGCCAGCCGCAGCCGCAGGCAAACTTCATAGCTGACGCGTAGAGCGGAGTGCCACAACCCGCACACACATACATGCCATCCCCGAAAAAATTATCATAGTGACCACCCCTAGGATCTGTAGCCTTTCGCCGCAGCACGCGGTACTGTGAGGCGGTGAGCTTTGCCCGCCAGGCCACGTCACCAATATCTTTGGAACCATCTTTTTCATCGGGCTGTGCACAGTTGGTGCTGCCCGCCTCTCCCGAATTTGCGGAGCTCATTAAGCGAAACGGACTCAACACAGCTACCGAAAAGATATTAACTCTTGGATAAAGCAAATTTCGCACGCAAGGTTTAGATGTTGTTTGGAGGACACGATAACGCATAAACTGTTAGTTATTGGTGGAATGTCTAGACGAAGCGAGGAGGATGCGGTTCTCCAGGAGAAAAGGTCGAGAAAAGTATAACTCAATCACCTCACGAATGCTTCCCTTCTTGATACTGTTGGTAGGTCAATCAGCGTATCAAGAAGATAACTATGTAATAATGAAAAATTTATCAAAAAAAAGGGAAAGAAGAGGTAACGCAATGAAATAGTGACACTATCATATAAAGACAATCTGCACCACAGGTACAAATGCAGTAAAGTCCGTGCAATGGAAAAGAATTAGAAAAATTAATGAAAACCTGTAATATTTCGCAAAAAAACACGCTATCTGGTGCACGCTAATCAAATAGGATATTACGAGTCCTCTCTATGGTCACTAATTTACACATCACACCGAGAACAATCCACACGAAACCCTAGCCAGAGAAAAGGCTGCCGTGACGGAAGGCTACAGTGTAAATTAGCTAAAAAGATATTATATCTATTTATTTCTATCGTCTACGTTTCTTCAATTTCTTGAGTGGCAATGGGGGCTCTTCCTCTTCCTCTTCCCCGTCGTCGTCAGCTACCTCATCCTCATAGGTCAACCTTTCAGGATCCCATGAGTCGTGTTGAACTTCCCTCATAGCCAACTTCTTCGAGCTGCCGCCCTTCACAAGTGGCTTTGCCTTAACATCTTCATCCCCTTCATCATCATCCGACGGCGCTGCTATCGTGCGAGCCCTCTTGGTCTTTTGCCGCGCTGGACTTTTCTTTAATGATACCATCGTTACTTCCTCCTCGTCTGGTTCAGCCTCCTCCTCCTCCTCCTCCTCAGCTGCATCATTCTCTTCGTACTCATCATCCCGCTCCTGCTCTTCATCTTCTTCCTCTTCCTCCTCTCCGTCGTCGGCGGGAGAAGGCGGTAAAGTGGCCCGCAGTGTTTTTTTGTCTCCCTGCGTCGCTGTCTTGCCGGCCAAGCGGCCGGCAGCTACAGGGACTGACTTCTTCGTCGACTTCGACGATGGAAGTGCCGATATGGAGGGAGGTGCATCGCGCACGATAGCCCGGCCGGACTTTTTGGTCAACTGGCCGGTTCTTCGGTGCTTTCGCTGCATGCCGCTTGGTGCTGGTGTTTCATCCACGTCCTCTGGCTCACTGTCTGCCGCGTCGTCGTCGTCGTCGTCGTCGTTGGGTTCCGGATCCTCATCCTCGACCTCACGGTGTACTGCCGGTTTCAAGGTGGTAGCCGACTTGCCTTTCATATTTTTTACGGGTGCAGGTGTATGATTTTTCTGCAGAACCTTCTCGGGCGGAGACACACGAGATCCCTCGCCGTACTTGCGCCGAGGGTACAACTCCTGTAGTTTTTTCTCGTGCCTTGAAGAGCGCCACCATGCACCGGCATCCCCTGCCGGGCGCGCGGAAACCGCACTAGTACTGCTACCTGCGACCTTTAGGGGAGACATTATCGGCTTTCGCTCAACTTTGGTCTCCTGCTCTTGTTCCTCCTCCTCTTCCTCCTCGGTGACATCCTCTTCCTCATCAGCCTCTTCTTCGGACTTCTCGTCCTTTGCTGCTTTGGAGGTCTCTTTGCTTTCTTCTTCCCCAGCATCGGCGTTTGATTGGCCTTTTTTGTCGTCTACATCAGTGCTAGATGAAGGCACATTTGTAGCAGCATTTGCAGGCGGGGGTACAGTCGCCTGTGCGGGCTTATTTGGCTCAGACATGAGCAACTTTGTGAAATCACTGCGACCTCCACGTTTGGCCAAGATAAACGCCTCCCCAATCGCGAGGCCGTCCTCTTGCGCTCCAGGCAACCCCTTGAGCATGTCGTAGAGGGTCAGCCCTGCTACCGTTGCGCCTGTCAGCGCCTCCATCTCGACCCCCGTCTTGACTTCTTCCGTGGCCACGGTACAGAAGCAGTACAGGACACTGCATTCCTGCTTGCTGGGTTGCGGGGGCGGTGGTTGCACGGCCCGCTTGCGCAGCACAACGCGATGTGGCAGGGCGGAGTAATTTAAGCCGCCCCCGACCACGCGCCGCCGGAAGGTGAAACTGCACTTTTGAATAGGGATCGGGTGGCAAAAAGGGATGAGGGTGCTGGCCTGCTTCACCGCGTTGGTGCCCGCGATCACCGCCGTGGCAAACAAAGGGCCCTTCCGGCTGGTGTAGTATTCCTCCATGTATTGGACCTGGTCGAGCCCGGGCCTGACGTCCCCTCCTGGTGGGCGCTGTGCCGCTGGGGTGAGGGTCTGCTTCATTCCTTGCAAGTAGACATTCGCGACAGGGGGGACTACCACCGTGGAGACGGCGGTGGCGAGTCGGTACGACGGCGGCTTCGATGCGTTTGCCTCACAACTCTGTGGAGCTCGACTGAAGACCTCTTCGCTGCTCACCTGCACCAACGCGACGCCACCTGGCTGGGGAGGGGCTGGGTTGACTTCCGCCTCCGGCGTGCCCTCCACGCGGCGCGGCGCGGTAAGGTGTCTGCCAGAAAGGCTCCCAGTTCGACGCCCCAGGCGTCGGGCAATTTTGTGTCGCTGTGGGGCTGGTGGGGGCTTCCGCTTCGCGAACAAGACCAGCACCGCGCGAAGCATGATCAACAATGGAGTATCTACACGATATATATATATATATTAAGATCTTTTGGAAAGGAAAATCTCGAATAAGGAAGAAGAGAAACATATACTTACTTTGCATGTCGACTCGCAGAAGAAAATTTGCACAAAACGGTGGAGAAACACGGTAACCGGATTTAATCCACGGAGAAAGAAGACTTTCACGCATGCAGTTATCCTATGAGTTCTATGAGAACTGGTTTCCCCATCTCGGATCCAGTCGATGAATATGTTGCTAGTTTTTCTTCATACTATTATATGTGAAGGTGGGCTTTGCGTTTCTTTTGCAGAAATCCAAAGAACTTTCACACATCCTACCCAGCTATTTTTGTGAAATATCCTTTTCAATCTAATCGATATTTTGTAGCTCTTTCCTCCTCGATACTCTTGTTTCATCCCCCTCCCGGATGATATATTGTAGCATAAGAGCGTGCCTCTGTTGTTAATTTCTTCACAAATAACTACTTCTGTAAGAGGCTAGAGGTTGTAAACGTCATTAAATGCGTTTGAGAACAGCTCAAGGGCCTCCTTAGAAACAAAAGGCGACCAATCATTTTGTGCCATGACTTCAGCACCTCTCTTCTTATTCGGAGAAGAATTTGCTGACACATCGAGCAAAGTTGATGGTTGCTGATTGAGCTCGAGAATAGGGCTGACGTCCTCTAACCCGTCGCTGCTGCTGTCATCTTCACCTTCTCCGGCATTGGCACGTTGCCATAGCCGGTGCACCACTCCCGAAGATTGACAAAGATGAGTCGACTCATTTGACCACTCAAAACGACTACTTGCACGCCATCCTGAAGCTTGCGTCTGAGGTGCATAAACTGACGCCGCGGTCCCTCGTCGCAATACTGAAGCGGCCACTGGGCTCATAAAATGCTTTTGAGCGGTAACGTGGGCTCCAGATTCGGTGATCAGTGACATCGCCCTGGGGGAATATATCTGGGGCTTGAACTCTTCTTGGTTAAATCCAATTCGTGATGAGTGAGGTGAAGAAGGAGTGACGAGGCGATCTACCATAGGACGCTCCTCCAAACACTGGGCTTTACTTCCTCCTACTCTCCTATCCCCGGTCTCGCGATTCAACGGTATTTTCTGACTTACGTCTGCCACCTCCTCTTCAATTCCTTGCGGTTCGGTCTTGAGACGCTTTAGTGGGGGTGGTAGCATCTGAGCCCCCATATGTGGATCGCCGAACTCAACCGGTTTGAGGCAAGGCAGTGGTGCAAACTCCTGGGAATTCAGAGGAGTAGGCGTGGGACTGCGGAACGCATTTGTGATGTTGGCACCAAATGTGCGGCCGCATTGTGTCGGAATGGATGACGACCTTGACATCCCTCTCAACGTTGTATTGCTTGGTGAAAGTTCTCAAGCTAAGCGGAAACAAAGAGAAGAAAATAAGCAATCTAAAGGCTTTATTCTCGTGGTTAAGCAAACGTATATCGAAGTGAAGGCGCTTTTCACAAAAAAGTCCCCCTCATGAGGAACCCCCTTCCACAAAGTAAATAAAAGAAAAGAATGTGATATTATGCACTCTCCTTCAGCTTTCCCCTCTCCAGACTGTTTTGTGCCTGTTGGTCTTTTTTGGTCTTTCCCTCGCCTGCCACAACTCCCCAAAAAACACACTACTACTGAAATGAAGAGGGGACAAATAATGCAATGAAATAATAGCGTTAGATCTAGCGGTTTGTATTTGAGAGCATTTAAACATTGTTAAAGTTCAACTTCCTAACCACAGCATGCTTGCTCCATCAATGCCCATCTATAATCGGTTGCTAATTTTATAACTAACCGATTCACGAAAGATTACCTACGGAAAAAAAATTACAAAACAAGCCCACTGAATGACGTGTGTAGATACCAGTATCCCCAGTATGGAAAGGTTCCCTAGAATAAGAAAAGAAATTACACACATGATAGTCTACCAGATGTGAATTCTTCCATCTAAAACGTTTTTTCTACATAAATTACCCCCTAGACATTGCCTCTTCAAAATTAAAAAACCATAGTACCTCTTATACTCAGACAAACGAGATACTAGGAAAATAGACTGCACCATTTTGCTATCCAATACAGGGAGAATCCATCCATCGGACCCGTCATCAGAAAAGTAAGAAAATTTTTAGTGGGATAAATTTCTTTTTCCAATATCTTGTCCTGCAAAACAAACAAACAACTACAAGAACTAAATCAGAGTCTGAAAAAGAGCCTACCCAACGTCACAAATGACCCCAAGTATTTACCATTTGTCGGTGCAGGCTAAGATAGATTCTCACCTCACCCGAGAAGGCAGTCCACAAAGTATTGACGCAGCCCCTCATCGCCGCCGCGCAGAGTAAGCTGAAGCGCGATCGACATTTCGGAGGTCACAAAAACCCGCATGCGAACAAGCAGAAGTGTGCGCTGCTCGTCTGCAACACGACCTGCCATGAGTAAGGTATGGGAACTGCTTTTAATTTGCTCCGGCACCTCATTCAGGACGTGCATGCCGTAGAACTGTGCAAACATCTGCGCAGCCTCGGATAGGTTTTGTGCACTAGGAATCGCGTAGGTCCGGGCCGTTTCATTGTCCTCCTCATTTTTCCACGCCGCCTCCATATCATCCTCCGAGCTTATTTCCGTCGCGGGGAGGACAAAATCCTTCAGGAGAACGTCAAACCCTTCGATATTGTATTCATCCGGGCTCGAATGGTCATCGGAGCTGTCTTCCAGAATAGAAAATTGCAATGAGCACTCCACATGGCCACTAGGGAAGTTATGAGGGGCGTACTGGAGCACGATGTAGCTGTACCGCGTCTCCCCAGGCCGGATCTCTTCCACCGGGATCGCGTACAGGGGCTCGGCCTCCTCCAGCTCCGATGTGTCGGCGCAGACGTTCACCTTGGCGAAGGACATATCCTCCATCGTGTTCTCAATCGCGAACTGCAGCACCAGGTGCTCCGGGTACACGTGCTTCATCACGGTCACGACGTATTCGTTGTCGGGCTCCGTGAGGGTGACCGGCTCCGTGCTCTTGATGGGTTCCCCTAAGCCGCGAAGCGGCTTAATCCGGCGCAGCTCCAGGCGGCCCTGGACAACGGAGGTCAGGGCGCGCGCGTCGGAGGTCTGGGGGTGGGCGTCCGATTCAGGGCTCTCCATGGCCCCCCTGGCCTCAGCCTCGACCAACAGCTGGCCGCCCAACCCTGGAGTGCGCCCCCCAACCCCGTTGATCTGCTGCCGCAGGGCAGAGGTGTTCGATAGGTGCTGAGCCCGCCGTCTCGCCGCCACGGCGTCGGCGACGTCGTTGATGTAGGAGTTAATCAACGCCTCGTTGTTCATGATAAATAGCTTGCTATAGAGCAACGCGCGGTCGCGTACCTCGTCATCGGAGTCGTTCCACAACCTTTTCAGATGTACGAGAATCGAGGGCCGTAGGGATGGAACACGCGCGCCGATCTTGGCGAGTGTGCTTACCGCAACAATGCGGATGTCTGAGGCATCAAGAGTAATATGATTGCATACATACCTCACAAAGCTGCTGGGATTCTTGCAACTCGCGATCTCGTTTCCCAGGTACGTCAAGACGCGCTTCGTGAAACCAGCGTACTCACAGTCGTCAATAAACTCTGCTAAGTGCTTCATCACACAATACTTCGACTCGGGATTGACCGTGGCGACTTCTATCATGCTACTGAGGACTTTTTCCTTCAGCTCCTTGCTGCCATTGCTAACCAGAAACTTTAATAGAAAGGACAGAAACAACATGTACTTGTTAGGAAACTTCGCGTTAAGAATCCGCATGGCATCCACGATAACAATCGCAAACTCATCCCCTAGCTCGTGCATGTAGTCCTGCGGTGACAGCTTTTCAACCAGGTGCTCCACAGTTTCCTCAGTTCCCGTCTTGAGCAACGAAGTGATAGCGAAAGTCGCTATGATGCGGTTGGAATCCAACATCAGGGTTTCAATCTCACTGTTCAGAGGTGCAACCACCTCTGGATACCGCACCGTGATGGCGTTGAGTTGACGAATAGCCGCGAAACGCAGCACGGAGACCGGTGAGGCGAGGTAGAGCTGCAGCACCATCACGACTGGGGCGAGTGCCTTGCTTGTGATATTGCGTATGGAGCAGATCGCCTTGGAGGCCTCAAACACAAGTATGTCGCAACTGCTACTCTGCATAATACCTTTGAAGAAGTTGTAGATATCAGGGAAAGAGTTGTCGAAGTCCTCGTTGACAAGCTCCACACACATCCTGATCACCGAGCAAATCGCCAGAGGGGATTGGATCTGCCCGCCTCTGACTTGGTCAACAAGGCGTCCAACTGAGAGTTTGTCACCTTTGCGCAGTTTGTGCTGCAGGGCTATGCAAGGATACTGCGTCTTCGTGCGCCCCTTCATCACCTCCGTGAGCTGCGTAGCCCACTTCCTGGGCATTTCCGGATTGGTGTTTGAGATGTGAATACCCGTGACCAGCGCCGCCATCACGACAACGGGAGACTGTGAGGTGATGCATTCTAAGATGGTGCGATCCACGGTTGTATACATATCGCGATCCATCACTGCATACAGTGTGCGAAGCGCGTTACTCTTCGCGCTCCCGCTGCTGTTCTTGATGTCGAGCATGATGGAATTCGATGCTATAAAACTTCGCTCTACAAGTGGACCGAGCTCCTTCATTAGCACATAATAGAGACGGCGAAGCGTCGGATTGTCGGACTGAAACAACCTCGTAGAGAGAAAGAAAAGGTCGGTCGCTTCATTCTCGGTGAGGACGATTCCGGTATAAATAAGATACAACGCCTGGGTGACAGCCGCCTCGCAAGCCCCAACGTCGAGCGGCACCGCGTTGAACACGCGACAGAGCTGAAGAGTGGATGTCTTGTCGATCCCCTCAAATGGGAGCATTGCCTTCTCGCTCTCATCATCGTAGTTTGCACTGTCTGTGATTTGGTAGTCCGAATCTCTGTTATTTTGCATTGCTACCGGTGAGGAGGTTTCCAATGAAAGTAATGGGTCTATAGATAAAGAAGATGAACGTTTAGTACCAAAATTATCGAAGTAATTGCTGCTATTTTAAAAATTTCCGTTACAATAGTTTCAGAAAGCAAATATATTATTATAAACGTATCCCTAACAAAAGAAAACAGGTAAAATCAAAGGCATAATCAACTTGGACCCAGGGGTACTGAAAGTACCCCAATAAAGCACAGATGACAGAAGCCAGTACTCAGACTAAAATAACCATATGCAGAACGAACTAACAGTCCGAAACATAGGGAGCATTCTTTGTTTTTTTCTTTTTGCGGACTAAAGCAAAGATTCGGCTGGTAATACACATGCATGTGTTTATAAACATTAGGATTAATTTCGAGCTCGCAAAGAGCCTGGATGATATTTTACATCTTCAGATTTTGACATTGGTGAATTTTATAGTGTAGCCATTCCGAAAATGATCTTTCGAGATAAAAACAAAAAGGCAAACAATAAATGCCACCAACGGATCGAGTCTCATCGTTTATCCTAAAATCGAGCAAGGCTAAAGAAATTTGATTTTGATTTCTACACATCAACGTATTCTCGCCTCTACCTCTTGTGCAAACCTAACACTGGCATACACATATTCCCGGTGTCTTACACTCAAGGTTTCTCATGTTTCGGAATAAAGTTAACCTGAAATTTTGCCTTTGACGGTAACATTCCGATACGATCAGTAGTGAAAACAAGTTCAACAAACGGGGGAAAATATAAGTCAGATGTTAATCAATTGTGTAGCCCTGCTAATATACAGTGGAAAGTAAAAAAAAGAAAACATCACAAAAGGCAACGAAGAACAATAACAATAATAATAATAAAACAGGTTCTAACGAAAAACATTATCAACTCTCATTCTCTGTATGTTTAGGGAACATACACGTTTGCGTTCTAGCTATTTTCTTGACTGAACTCAAGATCAAACTCTTTACAGAAACACTCGATGCATTTGCGCAGCCAGTACCCTCGCCATGTTTTCTGAATCATCGTTGCAGCGCGATGTTGTCTCATGGTTGGTGCCACTGAGCAGGATGTGGGAGCCTGATCACTATCTGATATGGAGAGCGGCACCACTGAAAACGACAAGCTCGCACTATTTTTCTCCACAGCCTCGCAATCTTCTTCAGAGGAATTAGCAGAAAGCACACACGCCGATTCAAACGGGTTTGAGATGTACTGCACCTCAATTGAACCCGAAGAGGATGACAGCGGGATGGTTTGAGTTCTGCTCTGCCATCGACATCGCGCGAGAAAGCCACGCGCCACAGCCTGTAGCTTCACCACAGCACATCGTGCGAGCTCGTTCTCCTGCTGATACCGACGAATCACAGTGATAAACTGACGATACCGCACGACTTGTTGGCGACATTTATAAGAGCGCCATACGCTTTGAATCATCACCGCGCAGTACGCACGAATTCGCTTAAGTTTCTGCTCCTCTGCTGCCGCTGCCATCTTGAATGCCTCTTGAACCAACAACCGCTTCTGCAGCAGAAGGGGTTTGAGCTTGTGAGCGGAGCTCCGTCTTAACAACCACAGCCTTACCGCACGTTGGATGCAGGTGGTGGCGGCGAACACCTCCTCGTGGTGGCGCTGCTGAGCGCGTTTGGCATCCCGGAGCTGGCGCAATTCGTCGAGCAGCGCCCTCCCACGCATCCGAAGCACCCACCGAGTGATTGCCCGATGAACGCACAGCACCTTCCAATGCTGCGCGCGCATCGCCTCCCGCGCCTTCGCGCCGCGCAGGACGGCGATCACCTTCCCCAGGCCG